TAAACAACATAGGTTTGACTTTTAATTCTTGATACCACAGGTGGAAATTTGTGATAATTTTAAAGGGGGCTGATATTTAAAAATAATTAATTATATATAAGTCATGTAGATTATATATTATATAATATAAATTGTAAACAGTATAAAAATAATTATTTTTTAATTAGTCTTGGTATGAAGAAATCAAAATTCAAAATATTTATTTATCTAATACATTGGTATTTTTTTWAAGTAAATCAATTATTTATTGGTATCTTATAAGTATTTTTTAACAACAGAATAACTATTGGTGTAAATCCGTTAAAATCCCAAAGAGGGTGGGGTACTAACATAAATGAGATTTGGGGAGGTCTTTGATTCTGCACAACTAAAAAAACAGTACATTGTTTTTTTAGTTAGATGGAATATATGTTGGCTTATTCAGCTTACCCTCCTGCCATCTGCACCTTTGAGGATAACATTGTTTTTGATAATACTGATGACTGGAACAAATTTACTAGGTATACATTCCTGTAAAATATACAAAGATTCACGTAGTTGTACTGCATTTAGTAATTGTTATCTTTAAAACTATACTCTGTTCAAGTTAAGAGTGCCCAAACTCGCRCATGCATACTAAGCAGCCGCAACTGTCAGACCCCCAGGAGACATCAGATGCCCAGTGATTGGTCGGCATTTTACGACCACCGCTGKCAACTGTCAGATTCCACCAATAGCAAAATGCATGCGCGAACAGTACTAGTTTTCATCCGAGCAACTGGGCACTCTGAACCTGAACAGAGTATATATTTTATTAGTTTCAAGTGACCAGATAAAAATTCTCTAATGTGGCACTAATATTTAAAAAAAATGTATAATACAGTCAATCCAATTTTGTTGACTTTTGCTATCAGGAATTTAGGTGAGTGTGGGYCTACTTAATAAGTTTTTATTGGATTTAGGACAATCGGTCCCCGTCATAATTTTATACACAAACAATTGGTCCCCGGCTTAGCTTTTTAGCATAAAACATTCTCATATAATATAATTCAAATAGTTACA